AGACAGGGTGCCTCCATGTCTAGGCGGAGGTGAGCTGGGCAGCTGTGTCCTCCTCCCTGACTTCCTGCCCACTGGGAGCCCTGAGCGTGGCCTCCCTCAGAAGCAGGGTCCTCACAGGTGTGGTGACGGTAAGACAACGACGTGCTGAGCCGGGCAGAACCTGGATCTAAGGCTGTCATCCTGGGACAGGGGCAGGCAGGAGGCCATGGGAAGACAGAGCTGGAGCAGGGAATGAAGCGCTCAGGGGCCAGGAAATGCCCAGATGCTCCAGGGCCTCCAGGAGCTGGGGCCGGGAGGAAGGCCCTTCTCTGTAGCCCAGAGCCGTGCCAGAGCGCCGCCCTGCTGACTGCCGATGGTGCTGGGGCTCTGGCTGCTAGAACTTCGAGGGAGTGCATTCTGTTCTTCACAGCTGGCCAAGTGCGTGTTGGTTTCTTATCGCTTTCAAACAGCTGAATAGTCCAGCATCAGGTGGGCCCTGGTCTGGGTCCTGGTGGCCAAAGGTGATCAATACCAAGTCTGTAAGGGGCACAGAAGCGGAGATGGGGAGGTGGAGGAGGAGGAGGAGGAGGAGGAGGAGGAGGAGGAGGAGGAGGAGGAGGTGCCTCTCAGGCACCACAGAAAGCACATCATTTCATTCCCGTACGGCGTCCTCCAGTGGTGTCTCTTACTGTCTCTGCTTCACACATTGGGACAATGAGCTGCAGGCCTCCCTGTAGTCACACAGCCTGGAAGGACTAAATCCCTCCAACACCTCTCAGAGTGCAGAGCTTCCCAGAGTCCCAAAGCAGCCTCCCAATTTGAACAATATAAAAAGCACCATGATTCTGGGTGTCCACATGATGAGCTCAGTCTGGGTCCCCTGCCCACCTCTTGTTGGGAGGTGTGTTCAGATAGTCAAGAAGGACACAGGAGTCCAGGGCTCCAAGCTTCCTTTCAAGGAGCAAACACTCTTCATCACCATCTTTCCAGCCAAACACAGCAACTCACATTTGAGATGTGAGGGTTGAGTCAACTCTCTGGCCAAAAAGCAAAGGCAATACAGTGGCACCAAGGTAGAGAAAGGCTTTTCTATAAATGGAAACAAAAATCCAGACACAAACCTTTTATCCTTCGCAAAAAATTAACTCAAAATGGTCCACAGACCTAAATTTAAGATACAAAACCATAAACCTCCTAGAAGACAGCGTGGAAAATTTAGGTGACCTTAGGTTTGGTGATGACAGTTCTGCTACAACACCAAACCATGACCCACCAAACAAAGAACTGATTCCTGGAATTGCATTAAAATCAGAAGATCTGCTCTGTGAAGCATACTTTTGAAAAAAGCCACAGATAGAGAAGAAATATTTGCAAAAGACACCTCTGCTAAAGGGCTGTTAGGCAAATACACAACTCTTAAAACTCAACACATAAGAAAACGAATGACCCAATCAAAAGTTGAGCCAACACATGAGAGGAGACACACAGGAAAGCATTTGCAGGATGAGATGACCTTGTACGTAATTACAGAGCTTCAGGTTAAACTGCAGTGAGAGAACAAGACCCATGTGGCAGAGCAGCCAAGGTCCAGAACGCAAAGCCTCTTGGTGCCTCGCTCACCATGGCTGGCCTCCAAATGGTGCAGCCTCTCCAGAGGCAGCTTGGGGCTCCCTTGAAGCTCACTACACTCTTGGTGTGCGGTGCAGCACCGCACTCCTACCCCTGGCAGCTAATGCGTACACTCACACAAAGCCTGCACACAGATCTTGGCAGCTGCTTTACCCCAGTCGCTAGAATTTGGAAGAAACCAAGATGTTTACCTTGGTCTGTTTAGACCACTATAACACAAGGCCCCAGCAGGCAGTGTCCGAATACCAGAAATTTATTTCTTGCAGTTCAGGCTATCGGAGAGGCCAAAGCAAAGTGTCCCTGTCTTTCAGGTTATGCACCCCATCATGACAGCTCTTCCCTCATCACCTAATCACCCCCACCCTGGAGCTCCATCTCCTGTTACTATTTTCTTGCAGTATGGATTTCACCCTATGCATCCGGGTAGAGCGCCAACCCTCAGGCCCCAGCTACATGCATTGGTAGGCGAATGGAGGACACTCGGGGATTTGACGCCTTTCAGCAACATGGAATTGTCAGGCCACGGAATGAATGTGTGTCAGGATGTAAAGAAGCCTCTCAGGGAGGCTGCCTGGCGCTGGGGAAGAGCATGCCTAGGGGAGCAGAAAGATGGGCAGTGCTGAGGGCCCAGGCAGAGGAGAGTGTGCACCGCAGAACGCAGGGACGTCCACGCTGGGGGGGGGGGTGTTTCGGTGGAGCCCTGGTCCAAGGCCCTGGATGCCGAGGCGACCCAGAGGTCAGGAGTCCATGAAGGGCCCAGGACTGGCGGAGTTACCTGGGAATTGGATGGCTGGGGGGGAGTCACTAAGGGGAGAGGGGCATCGCCACACTTTTCTCCCAGTGCTGTAGACTCAAAAGAGCTTGTGACTTGAGTCTCTGGGAAAGTACAGGGTGACCTCAGAGGGACAGGACAGTCCAGGGCCGCAAGTGACCCCTCGGGCGTGCAGGACTCTGGCAGCTCCCTGCTGTAGACAGTGGATTCTCTACATCACCAGCGCAGCCCAGGCATCTTTGCCTCCCACCACCACTGCTGGGCCCAGGGGCACAGGGCTGTACCTCCCCAGTGAGGGACGCTGGGCTCCCACCCTGGCTCGGCCAGCGAGTCCGCTGTGAGGCCTGGGTTGTCTGCACTGTGTTTATGTGGTGCTGGGGACCAGGACCTTCCCACGGAGCTATACCCCAGCCTTTTTATTTTGAGACTGGATCTTATTAAAATTGTTAACTTGCCCAGGCAGGGCTTGAACTTGTGATCCTCCTGCCTCAGCTTCCTAAAACTGGATATACCACTGACACACAGACCATATTCAAAGAAAAGTAGAGGAGATTACCGATACCTAACAGGCAGAGTTCATCATTTGATCTTTGTTTTCCACAGAAACTACTAGGTAAATATTAAAGGAATAAATTATTGTTCAGGGTCTTAGAAACTTAGTTTTAACCCTAGGCTCTTTATAAAAAGTCTTTTAATACAGCATAAAAAGTACCTGGCAGGGTGTAACAGCTCAGGAAGGGCTGGCCCTCCTCGAAAGTCTGGATACCACATCCCGCCAGCTGGAAAACTCTGACCTGGGTTGGCCAGGGCTCTGCAGAGCCCATCATGGAGGAGCTGGCAGAGCACTCAGGTGGGGCTCCAGCTCTGTGACCACCACAAGTGGTGAGACTCCCTGAAAAACGTGCCATGTTGGCGGGAGCTTCTCTTAGTTCCCTTGATCATGGGAGGAGAGACCGAGGCTGAGCATAGGAGCACGTCCCAGGCCACCAGCTTGGAAGCAGAGCAAGGCCACAGCCTGCGTCTGAGTCTCGGCTGTGGGGCTGCCCGGCTTCCTAAGGGCCTGACCTCCATGTGGCACAAGGCCATCCTGGCTCTGTGGTGCATGCTTGGTGCTATATGTTTCACCTAGGCAGCTTCGTTAAGCTTTGTCTCGTTCCCTGCTTGCTGACACCTATAGCCTGGGGGGTCTGGGGATGGACTGGCCTCCGCAGTGTCCTCTGTCTCAGGAAGGTGAGCCCTGCCCTCTCCTCCACGCACTGCAGATGCCAGGGGGAAGGGGGCCAAGGGCTAGTGGGGGCGGGGCCACCACTGGAGCCTTCATGTTCTTAGTCTGTACCAGGACCTCTTTTTGGAAAGTAAATTAAAGCCACTCTTATGCAGTTCAGCCAGTGACGGCTCAGAGACATTAAGGCTCTTTACTAGGTGCTGGAAATTCTGCCAGGTGGGTCATAGTGACCACTGAATAACATTTTAAATGGATTAAAGATCATTTAATTAAAGCTCATGATAGGAAAATGTTGTGATAACTAAATTATGTCTCAGTAAATGTGTTAAAGCATTAAAATATCTTCGAAAATAATTTACCAGGACACAGGAGCTGCATCTAAAAAAGGGTTTTTTTTAGCAGACTTAGGTACATTTTTGATTTGGTTTTCTTTTTCCCAAATTAGGAAAATGGCATAGATAGCAGTTTAACACCGGTTTTTAAGGAAGCAGGGAAGGGGAAGGGGTCCTGCCACAGGGCTGGCCCCAGGGGCGCCTCTCCAGCTGGGCTGGCAGCAACCGCCGAAGGTCCAGGTGCTGGCACTGAGCTTTAGGCGAGACCTCAGACTCAGACTTCTGAGAAGTACTGGAATTGCTGACAGTTTAGTGGCTCTTAGAGGGGCCCTGAGTACATTTGCATAGTGAGATGAACGCGAACCACTAGGGGCCTGGGGTGGAATGTTACGGCTTTCATCTAGAATGCTCTGACAGTCTCACATGTTCAGAGACTGGACTTGTGGAAGGTGATTTGATTGTGATGGCGCCATAGTCCTCAGGGCCAGCATCTAACAGAAGTTGGCTTATTTCCGGCTTCACTCGGCCACACTGCTTAAAACTTGAGGTATTACATAAACGTTTAGTACGTAAATGCAAATTGAAAGGTACCTTCCTCCTGAGCCATGAACACAGCGCGGATTAGGTTTTCCTGGACTGCTTGACAAGAGGTAAGTGACACACGTGTGATTGTCCTCTCGCTGCTGCAGCGTGGCTAAGTCACCCAGGGACAGGTCCAGTCCCCCTGCTAAGAGACCCAAATCCCTGCAGAACGACACGGCATTTGCGTGGAAGCTGTGGTGCCCTGCTAAGTCTTTCTAGATGACTCACAGCACCCGAAGGGCAGTGGCTGCTGTGTAAGCTGTCGCTGTGTCACTGAGAGAAAGACAGGGAAAAGCTCCATCGGTGTCCACCCTGCACATGATTGGGTTTTCTGAGTACCTCCTATCCCAGCTGGCTGAAGCCAGGAGCATGCTGTTGCCCAGCAGAGTGTCCGTTTGTACTGCCCAGTGCGCTCATGCCCCCACCTCAGCACCCCCTGAGAAAGCCTGACTCCCTCTCCCTTCTCTCCCACCCACTCCAGGCTGCAGAGCATCCATGCAGGAAGCAGGGGACACAGTCTGTGCCCACAGAAGGAGCTGGCTGGCCATGACTGATGCTGCACCTCCCGGCTGTTGAGCCCCGAGGAAAGTATTTTTCCTGAGCACCCAGCCGCAGGAGCCCTGAGGACACCGGAGGGGAGGATGCAGCCAGCAGGCAGAGGGTGGGAGCCCCCAAGGCGCTGAGGGCCAGGCCTTCTGCCCTCCCCATCCCTGCTCCTGCCAGCCCCCACCATGGCCTGCAACAGCACCATCTTCCTGCCCTTCCAGCACCTGCAACTGAACGTGAGCAACACCTCGGGCGTGGCAGCCACGCCGCTGTCCGCTCCCCTCCGGATCTCCCTGGCTGTCCTGATGCTGCTCATGATGGTGGTGGGCTTCCTGGGCAACACAGTGGTCTGCGTCATCGTGTACCAGAGGCCGGCCATGCGCTCTGCCATCAACCTGCTGCTGGCCACCCTGGCCTTCTGCGACATCATGCTGTCCCTGGGCTGCATGCCCTTCACTGCCGTCACCCTCATCACCGTCCACTGGCACTTCGGGGACCACTTCTGCCGGCTCTCAGCCACGCTATACTGGCTCTTTGTGCTGGAGGGTGTGGCCATCCTGGTCATCATCAGCGTGGACCGCTTCCTCATCATTGTCCAGCGCCAGGACAGGCTAACCCCGCGCAGGGCCAAGGGGATCATTGCCGTGTCCTGGGCCCTGTCCTTCTGCATCGCCGTCCCCTCGCTGTGGGGCTGGACAGTGGTGGAGGTGCCTGCTCGTGCCCCGCAGTGCGTACTTGGCTACACTGAGCTCCCGGCCGACCGCGCCTATGTGGTGACGCTGGTGGTGGCCGTGTTTTTTGTGCCCTTCGGTGTCATGCTCTGCTCCTACCTGTGCATCCTCAACACGGTGCGCAAGAACGCAGTGCGAGTGCACAACCAGTCAGACAGCCTGGACCTGCGGCAGCTGCCCCGAGCCGGACTGAGGCGGCTGCAGCACCAGCAGCAGGTCAGCGTGGACCTGAGCTTCAAGACCAAGGCCTTCACCACCATTCTCATCCTGTTTGTGGGCTTCTCGCTCTGCTGGCTGCCGCACTCCGTCTACAGCCTGCTGTCGGTGTTCAGCCGCAGCTTCTACTACGGCTCCTCCTTCTACGCCGCCAGTGCCGGCGTCCTGTGGCTCAGTTACCTCAAGTCTGCCTTCAACCCCATCGTCTACTGCTGGAGGATCAAGAAGTTCCGCGAGGCCTGCGTGGAGCTGCTGCCACAGACCTTCCACCTCCTCCCCAGGGTGCCCGCGCGGATCCAGCGGCGGATCCGGCCCAGCACAGTCTACGTATGCACCGAGAACCAGTCCGCTGTCTAGGCGTGGGGCTCCCTGCAGCTCGAGTCTCGTCCAGGTCTCTCGGTGACTGTTGAAGCACCAAGTGCTCATTGTCCCTCACGGGCTGCGGGACCACCTTTGCAGTTTGGGCAGGTGAATTATTTATGTTTCTCACAGTAGAACAGGTCAGGCAGGAGCTGCAGGGGTGCCACGCACACAGGGAGCAGGCTGCAGGGATGGAAAGAGCGAGGGAGGAGCCAAGAGGAAGTGGGCAATGGGCAGGGCAGGGTGTCACTAAGGTACTCACAGAGCCCTTCACACCCCGGTGCCAGGCTTGAACCGAGACACCCACCAAGGGCCCAGCCATGTCCTGGGCCATCGTCCATTCCACTTGTTACCAGTGTTCTTTGGCATGGCTAGGGGCTGTGGGCTCTGGGTGCCACGTGGGGCTCTTTACATTGGTCAAACGACCGTTCCTGAAGGTGCCAAATCCTCCCTCCTAGAAAAGAACAGAAGTTGTGCTGGGAAGCAGATGGAGTGAGCACCACATGCGAGTCCTTGGGGTGCCACGGAGCCGTGCGTGGCTCACAGCGTGGAAGGTGCAGTGGCAGTGAGGAGGCATCCTGGCTGCTGACACAGGTCCCTGCCCTCTTCTGCCCACACCGCCCATCCTTCCTGGTGTTCTGGACACCATGACAGGGAATTCGCCCATGAGCAAGTATCCATAGTGATTCTCTGTTTACACATTTCCCTACATACCCGGGGCTCCAGGGCCTTGGGGGTGCACTGCATGGGGACCAGCAAGGGAGCAGGGCCAGGGGCAGGACAAGCAGACTCCCATCTGGGCCCCCAGGTCCCTGGAGCCTCTGCTCCTCCTACCTCACTCACACCACTGCTACTACTGCCGCTGCAGGGCCACCTGTGTGGGTCAGGGTCCAGGAGTGCAGATGCCCCAGGTGACCGCCCTTGAGCCCTCCACCCAGCCACTACGCCCAGCCACCCACTGCCACCCTGAGCTCCCAGTGCTGGAAGGCGACCTCCCGAGCTCCCTTCCTCCCAGCGTCAGCTCTGAAGAGTGAGACGTTCACAAGAAGCTCAGAAAAGCTGCACCTAGCTTGGACTCCAGCAGGGATTGGTTGAGTCACCCTACTCATTCCACCTCCTTTTCCTAGGTCTCAGTTTCCCCATTTGTCAGCAGGTCTAGGGGACATCTAGGTGACCTCACCCTCCAACTCTAATGTGGGTTTGTTTTACCATCACTGTCCCTTGCACTCATGTCCCCCAGCCACGCTGAGAGCATGCACGGGGCCTCCTGGGTGGGAGGCAGAGGAGGACAGTGGGGCAGGCCAAGCCAGAGGCAGCACCAGGCTCCTCCCAGGGTCCCAAGGCCACCAGGCATTGCAGTTCCCTGCTCCTTTCTTGGTAGCTCCGGTTCTCACGGCTGGTCGAGGGCTAGTGATGGAGACACGAGGCGGGGGGAAAAGAGAACATAACTCACAGTGCTCTCTGCCCAGGCTGGGCTGTTGAGAAGGAACTGATGCTTTCTTTGCCAGCCAAGATGCAGGACAGCCGCCTGAGATGGCCCATAGTTCCATGTCCTGGCCAGAGCAGGGCTTGCCTACGGCTCTTGGGGACAGGGTGCCTGGTGGGCCCTGAGGTGCAGCCAGGCCCTGGGGACCACCACACTCAGGCACCTCTCCTCCTGTCCTCATAGCAGAGAATTTATTCAGAAATCGGAAAACTGAATGAAGATAACAAAATTTACATCAATCCATGTCATGTGGTGTATGCTGAACAGTATTGTTTCAAAGTAATAATTTTGTATATGTTTTAAATAAAGTACCGTTGCTTTTTCGGTGTATAAGGTCACATCCTTGCCAAAACTCACACCAAGTCCACTAAGAGCTAGCCTAGGATGCAATGCCTAAGGCTCCTTTAGCTTCACTCAGGCTGCTGGAACAAATCGAATGGCTGACTTGAATTTGCTGTCATTCAGGAATCTGGGGAGCCCAAGTCCAGGCACCAGCAGGTGTGGTGCCGCGGGGCACAAGCTGCTCCCTGTGAGCAGAGCAGAACAGGTTCCCCTGCCTTCTTGTGACCAGGTCATCTCCCACAGCCCTCTCCCTTACTACAATGGCTCGGGGATGGGGTTGGACTCATGCATCTCGGGAACCACCAAACCCTGGCCACAGCACCCCTGAGACCAAAGGATTTCAGGAAGCCTGCAGCCTGCAAGTTGCTAGCGAAGCCACAAAGCCCGCAGGGCGTCACAGCACAAGGACAACCAGAGACAGAGCACCAGGTCTCCCTGCGGGGCAGTTTGTTTCATTCCCTTGTATCATGCCTTCTACAGAATTGGGGGCCAGCTGGCCAGTGTTCACACCTGCCCCACCTCTAGGGCTCTGGAGGGAGCAGGGCCCCCCTCACCTGGTGCCAACGATTTGTTTAGTTTTCATCTTCACTTTCCCTGGGGTTTCCCTGAATCCCAGGGTTGGTGCAAAGCCAGAGTCACACCTAGCTTGTCCCTGTGGGGGCCAGGTGGGGGCCAGGTGGAAGACAGCTGCCACCATGGTGATGCCCCATTCCCACACATCAGCTGGCCCTGGGCTCCGGGAAGAGCCTTGGAAACGCGTCACAAACAGGGCTGCATGCTCAGAGGTCTGGAGCTGACCCATGGCAGACAGTGATAGTTGAGGTGCTCAAACCCAGAGACGTGGCATGGTTTCCACACAGGAGCCGGCACTTCCTCTTGAGCCCCTTCCATTGTCCCCAGGTGACTCAGACCTAGAACAGCGTCAGTGTGGTGCACACAGCTGTCATCCCACGTGCAGAGACCACAGGGTTGGGATGCGCACGTGCAGAGGAAGTCGCTCATACAGGAACCTCTCCCTGCTCAGCTGGATCTACAGATGCAAACCAGGTAAGGACCAGCAGGGGGATGGTGAATCTTACAGCTGTTGTGCCAACTGCAACAATACCTGCCACCTTTTGCTCTGGAATCATGGTCTCCATGGTTAGGACAGAACAAAAACAGAGGTTCCGAAATGGCTGTGGGGTTCCATATGGGTCCCTGTCTGCCGTTCTGAGCCCTGGTGACCCTCACTGCTCACAGCTCGCAGTACACGCTGCCAGGGACAGGGGCCTTTAGGGGAGCATCTCTACGGCCTGGAGGAGGCCCCATTCAGTTATTTAATGCCCAGCCCTGTAGCTGGGAGAGCACAGTGGTCAGCCTCAAGGTCCTCCGCAAATGAAGGGGCTCTAGAAGGCTCTGCCAGCCCTGGGCTGCCTCACTGTCTGCCACCGGGCAGTGCCACACCCCCATCCCTGGTCTTTGAAACAGGTGGTCCTAGCCCGAGCGCCAAGGGAAGCATGAACCATGGAGGGGTATGGCTCAGGGGTTGGCACCTGCCCAGCTCTGCAGAGAATTACACAGTGCACAAACTCCTTCTGAAGGCCCGTGTCATCTGCTGGGGAACCGGAGAGCAGCTCAGGGGTACAGCACTCGCCTGATGCATGCAAGGCACTTGGTTCCACCCGTATCAGCACCACACATCCAAAAAATGAAACAGTGCAGGCACAGGACTGTGCCCAGGGCCGGGCTGCAGCAGACACTGCAGTGCCAAGGCACCAGTCACCACAGGTGTGCAGCCTGCCTGCATCCTGCCGGGGTTTGTCCTCTCTGGGTAAGGGTGCAGCCAGGAGGTTAATTTAGTGGACGCACACACAGAACTTGAAGCACTTTGCTGATAGGGACCCATTTATTAGAAAGAACATCACTAGGCCTCTGGGTGAGTGGCAGCTGAGAGGAGCTACCCAGGGCGAGGTGTGAGTGAGGGGTGCCAAACTTTGGGGCCTCTGTGTCCCCCCTCCCCTGACTTCCCCGTTCGTCTGCTGGAACCTCTGAGGCCCATCCCTCGGGCTCTACAGCGGCTTCAGTGAGCAGGCACCATGCGTTGCCTCCTTGGTTTGTGGAGCTCAACCCCATCTCAGCTCAGCTCCCCTCCATGGGGACTGAGTGGGGCTGAAAGGTGCTGTCCTAGAATCAGGCCTTGGTCTTCCTAGGGACCAGCCTCGTCCTGAAGCTCCAAAGAGACCCAACCACCGCTGCCACCCCACGGCACACGAAGGCTGCTCTCACTGTTCCATGTCCCTGCACGTCAGAGGTAACAGGCAGGGGTGGCTGCACATGCTTAGGTCACGGTATCAAGTCCATGTGGCGTCCTTTAGCTCAGGCCTGGCCGATAACGTGCACTGAAGCAAGGAGCATGGCGGGACTCAGTGGGCAGCTGTGCGTGGTAGCTCTGCCCTGCCTGGCTCTGCCCATCGTTTACTGTCAGAGCTGCCCATGGGGTGTGGAGAGGAGCAGGTTCACTCGTGTGCGAACCCCACCTTGGCCGGAAGAAGGAGCAGCACACGCAGACCGTTCACTCCGACTGTCCTGCACCACGGCATCTCTGGGGACCCAGGAGGCAGGAAGCAGCTGGAGCACCTCTGGGGTAAACAAGAACCAACACAAAGGTGACTGGACAGACAGACAGATACCAGAAGCTCAGGGCAATGAGGCGGGTGCCCTGCTCTACGTGGCTTTCAGGATTTAGGCTCCTTTACCCCATGTCCCAGTGTCCCTCGGGGCACTGGCATCTCTTTATGGTCAGTCTGGGCCCAGCCACTTCTGTGTTTCAGGGTTTGACAGGGGACAGGTAAGACAACCCTGCCAGCCCCTGGCCAGCCATGGTCATGTGGCCATGCTTAGCTGCCAGGAAAGGGGTGTCAAGTGTACCCAGCCATCACCAGCTCATGCCAAAGAGAAGGATTCGTATACCAGCACATCCCACAGTTAAACAAACACGCACAGGAGATCCCAGGGCACAGGGGAATTCTGGAGTCCTACACACACGTTTCTTAAATGAGCATTGCTCTCGGTAACAAATGTGTGTCAGCTGCCTGGGGCCAAGACAGCCGCCCCTCTCTTCACCCCTGCCCTGCAGTTACCAGTCTTCTGTTCAAAGCACAATGTGCCTGCATCCATGCCTGAGTGAAAGAAAAAACACCACCTTAGACCTTCTGGCCCCAAAGACTGGAGGCAGAAATGCTACACTGTTTAAAATTTGCAGCCAGAAAAGGATGAACTCTGTCAAGACAAGAAAAAAAAAAAAATTACCGTTTCAAACAATAAGCCAACAACACTGCCTGTGACCACTTTGGCCTGTGGGCTTGATTATGCTGGGAAAAGTTTCAGGCTGTGGAATGGAGCAGAGGTCGTCATGGCAGCGTGGAGCAGGACACGGGTAAACCTAGTCACTTAACTCCATAAGGAGAGGCGGGGTACGGAGGCCCTGGCCCGGAACCTGCTTCTGGCTTCTGTAGCAACGAGAGGAGGTTGTGGGCTGTGCCCTCCCCGGGGCAGGTGTCCAAGGCTGCTTTTGCATTCAGAGTCCCTCTGCTCTCTGGGCTTCATCCTGGAGAGTGAGGACAAGGCCGGCAGAGGCCCGCAGGTGACTGCCACCACATCCCCGTTACCAACAGGCCGCTTTCCCTGCTTCCTGAGTCCTCTCTGGGCATTCATAGTCCCTGGAGCCCAGGAGATAATGGCCCAGCTCGCTTGGCGGGTTGCTGCTCCTGTGCACGGTCCAGGTGAGCTCGGCTCTCCTTTCCTCCTTGTGGACATGCTGCTGCCCACTTCCGGAGGCTCAGCAGTGCGCGGTGGCCAGGAAGCCTTGGGATGCTGCGTTAGGAGTGCCAGTTCCCAGGACCGGTAGACCAGGGCCCACACTTCCAAAAAGGCACAGGGAATAGCAGAAAATGCAACTGGCTCTCAGTGGACGGAGGTAAGGGAGAAGCACTGTGTAAAACTCAAGGCTCTTTCTCCCGAGGCCTCCGACGTCTCCAGGCCTGGGTCAGCCTGGCACTGGCAAGCACTTCCCCACACAGAGGCTGGGGCCCGGACCCACCCCTGGGATGGCACTGGTGGCTGTGGTACTCCATTGTCTTCAGCCAGGCCCAGCCAGGCCCCTGGGTGCTTCCCGCATCCTCCAGAGTCTGCAGTGCAAGGCTTGTGTCCCACTCTTAACCTCTGCTCCCATCCTGGGAGCCTCCTCCTCTGCCGCCATGTGTCCTCGTTGTCCCTGGCCTTCCTCGCTGCTGTCCTGTTTCTCGATGCTGTAACAGGACACCCGATGGTGGGCACTGTGGAAAGCAAAGTCCTCAGGGGGCTCACGGTTCTGGAGGCTGGGGTGGGGATGGGGGGCCAGGAGCAGTGCGTGCCCTGTGGCTTCAGCCGAAGGCGTCTCTTGGAGGATGAGTGCTCTGGCTGAGGACCCAGCCACTCTGCACCCACGGGAACAGACCTGACCCGGTGTCCACGCTTGACCATCCCCACAGGCCATGTCATCGGCACCATGGCAGGGAGCGAGTGGGTTCCTGGGGCTCCCACAAACCACTGTGCCCCTTCTCCCTGTGCTTCTCCTCAAGCCGTGCCAATCTGAGAAGGCACCGACCCACTGAGGCTGGGCATCTGGATTCTGTAGGAGAACTGCACACTTCACACCTAGACAAGGGTTTAGAATGCTCTACACACTGGCCCACATCCAGACGCAATTGCTCCCTGAAGAAACAGGAGCAAAACAGCCAACATGTTTACTGGATCCTTTTAACACCCAGACAGAGATATCCCTCCCCACCATGCCGGGTCTCTGGGCAGAGGCCAATGCCCCAGCACACTCTGGGCACCACCGTCCAGGGCCACAGCCTGGACCCCCCTGTGTCAGCCTCTCACACACCGGGTCACCCCAGGTAGGGACCAGACATCAGGACCCTCTGCCCATAGACCCCAACATGATTCAAAACTGCCGGTGCTCAGGGCCCCGCCCGCCTTGGTGGCTCTTCCCCACCCATGGCTCCTTCCCATGCCTGTGCCCAGCTGCTTGAGCAGTCCAGGGTGTCACCTCGGCCTGTGCCTATCCGTGGGGGCTGCGTCACCAGTTGCCCTCCCAGTGGTCCTGACCCGCCAGCCTCAGTGCACCTCAAAACTTCTATTAGATGCTGTCTTTCAAAGCTCAGTCCTCCAATCATTAAACACTGACAACATTGACAGGCGGAGGAGTGAATGGCGACATGGCCCTGAGGGCGCTCCTTTTCACTCCTCTGCCTAAGATCAGGGTAGGGCTCTGGCACCACCTAGCAACTCTGCAGCCCTCCCCAGCCTGTGGGCTCCTCAAACTCCATGCTGAGCTCTAGCAAGTCCTGGGGGCCAGGCAGTCACCCTCCTCAGACACACAGTTCGCTCCTCACACGGTGCAGTGAAGGATGATGATGGCTGAAGGCAGGAAAGGAAAAGCCTGTCCCTGTGGAGGGCTCTCTGTCCGCGGCCTGGCAAGTCCTCCCATCTGTCCTGTGGTCCTCTACAGCACCATCCTCCAGCTCTGCTGCTGTTGGGCTGGACGGTGAGCGTGGGGCAGTCAGTACTACTGCGACACCCTGGGGGGACAGGGCCCTGACAGACCCACACATAGACCTTTCCTGTTGCCCACGCGAGGCGTGTGAGACGCTTATTCCGGGTCAACATCGCAGGGCCACAGGCACCCAGGCCACATGGAGCTGCTGGGCGGTGATGTTTAGAAGAGCCGGGTGGTCCAAATGGTGGCCTTGCCTGTGGGAGTGGCATCATGGCTGCAGGCCGAGGGTGAGCATCACGCCCTCTATACCCCCCCCAATCCTCCGGGGCACCTGCACCCCTCTGCTCACAGCCTCTGCTGTGGCTCTCAGGCCGTGGGTTCAGACCAAGCTCCAGCACCATCTCCCACTGGAGATCACGGGACAGCATGGTTTTCACGAGTGTGTGGCCCTGTCCTCGGTTTCTCTGTCACACACGCGTGCTCCATCAGGGAACGCTGATGCACATGGCCTGTGTCCTGACTGGGCCGGGCTGGACTGACCCGCTCTGCCACTCACTCTCTGGACCTGCGTGAACAGGGACTATTTGCAGTGACTGAGGTTGGTGTAAATCAAGCACTCACAGGATACCAGCACTTCCTTTGCTTGCTCAGGTGGGTTTTCAGGGGGCTCCCCACTTGCCGTGCCCCCACTATGGAGAGGTGCTGCCTGCCTCACAGGCTCTGTCCCTCTCTGAGGCTGTGTCCCGCTGCCTCAGGACACAGGGGAGCACAGCCCTTCTTATCCTGCACCCCAGCCCTGCAGTCATAGCTTGATCGCCCACAGGTGAGGAAGGAAATGGCCCTGCCTATCAGTCAGCTCCTAGGGTCAGCAGTGTCCAGATGCCCGTGTCCCCAGGCAGAAAGATCTACACTGTGAAACAGGAATCAGAGGGGATGGACCATGAGCTGGGGATGGGCACATCTCTCCCTCCCCGGGGTGCCGCAAGAGGCTAAGGAGCCACAAGGGGACACACCCAGGAGGCCCAAGCTTCCCTCCTGGCTGTCGAGCTGCTTCGCACAAAGCTCAGCAGCTGAGCTGTCATAGCAATAGTGGGGACCCTCGTGTCTATCCCTGGGAATGTCACCACAGGAGTGGGGGATCCTTAGGTCTCCTCGGGACAAGGGCTGTGCTCTGGTTGGAACCCATGCCCAGGGCCTGCCTGAGGCCACTCTTGGGCTCTGTGTTAACTGCAGGGAGGAGAGCAGGACAGTGCATGGGTGGGTGCAGAGGGCAGGCAGCAGGTTCTCCTGTAAAGGTCCTGTGAGCACTAAGGAGCGATTCTAACTTTACAGAAAACTACACGTGTAAGGAGTCCATGCAATCCCCTCAAAGGCCCAAGCACCACTGCTCAGGTGACCCCTGAAGGCCACAGCAGGCCACCTAGGAGAGTCTGACCTAAAGGAGGCTGCTCAGAGGATGGAGGGGTAGGATCCTGCAAGGCCGGATGGAGTCTGGGGCTGGCACTGCGGAGCCAGCTCAAGCTCTGGAACTAGACACTAGTGGTGATGGTGGGCATGGGCGTCACCGTGTCACTGGACAATTTTTATTTTAAAAAGAAAACATACCAAGCAAAGAATTAAGAGTTTTAATAAAATTAACAAGTTTACATGTGTACAGGTTGTGTATCTGGGACTCAAGGAGATAAAGGATAAAGTTACAAGGACAAAAATTCCCATGGGACAGCAAAGACAGGGCCAGGGTCACCTGGCTGTGCATCCATGTGACGGTGCCACCCCTTCTGTGGCTGGCGCCGGCGCCCCTCATGGCTCTGTGCTCTGGCCCACGGCCACAGTGCCCTATGGTAGACCACGGGAGGGTGCGGCCTGACAACGGTCATGCAGAGGGAGTCTGCACGCGCCCCTGAGGACGGGCGCTCTGGGCGCCAGTCTCACCAGGCTGCACAGCCGCGGTCACAGAACCTCGAGCCAGGGAGGAAGAATCCGTCTGAAAAGCAAGGCTCGAGAAAAAGCCCCGGTAAGGGTGTGAGGCAGGCTGGGGACGCGGGGCCCCGCGCACAGACAGTGGTGCCATGCCAGGCTTCAGCAGGGACAGGAACTGCTCAGCCCTGAAGGCAGACACGAACTTTAGAGCAACGCGCGGTACCCAGAGTCTGGGCGGTGCCGGCTTGTGCGTGCAGGGCGCAGTGCTTCCAAAAGTGCAATGAACAGTAACGTCATCTCCATGGGACCCAAACCACACAGCACAGTGGGGCTGGTGACACCAGGCAGGGCGTGTGGTCTGGAACAGCTGTCCACAGGGTGCCCACGGCAGGCCTTGAACCCACGCTGGCTTATGTGGTGCAGTGCAGAGCAATGGGGAGAAATTCCCCACTGCTTCTCCTTAAATAACTGAAACACAGGGGGAAATATTGCCAATTCTTTGAACAACACAGACTGGTTTGTTTCTTGGCTCGCGGGCAGCCTGAGAGGTAAACCCAGACTGAGTGCGGCAAGGCTCTCCATGGCCGGCGCCACGCACTCCCTCGTGGCTCAGGCGGCGGAACAGTGCACCCAGGCTCCTTGTTCTACACCTCAGGAAGGCATACGCAGCAGGGCAGTGAAGTGACAACAGCCTCAGCATGTCAGGATGGACACAGAGACCCAAGGACCCCCAGCAATGGATAGGAGGCCTTTTTCTGCAGTTTGGGGACCGTTAGGGCAGGCACAGAGGTGCAGGGAGGTAAGGCAGCCTGAGCCAATATCCCCAGGGCCACGCAGAGGGCACCCGATGTTCTGATGCGTGCTTGTTCTGGGCAGTGGTCTCCTGGGTCTCCAGAGGGGCCAAATGCTAGCAGAAGAAACATCCCCAGGGGGCAAATCTTCAACTGGAGAGAAACTGCAGAGACACTGCGGATTCACATAAAAGTGCCCGGCTGCACAGGGTCAGGTGGACTCCTTCAGGGCACATGTGCCTGCCCTGGCCTCGCCTGCCCTGGTGCACACCGTTCCTCAGGCTGGCAGGCAGCTACCTGGGGACGTCAGGAGGTCCCAGGCACATGAGATTCTCAGGCAGCCAGAAGCACAGGCGCGCTCGGGCGGACAGGGGGGAGCTGAGAGGAGAAGGAACACACGCCACGTCCCCAGGGCCAGCTGTCCATGGGGCAAAGGCTGACTGAGTGGGAACAGGGCCCGTGTCACAGAGGGCTCTACTGGGCGCGGCGTCTGCACCCTGCGGGTGACCCCTCGCCTTTGCTCTGGTTGACGGCACCACACAGCAAGCCCTCGACATCTGGCCAGCATTCTTGGGGTTCGAATTTATGTTCACACAGAGCGCTCAGCAGGGAGGGGTCCCGGCTTGTGGCACAGATGCTTCTGGGCACTGATGCCACTTGTGCTGGCTGGCGCCAGGCGTGCGACCGCCTGCTCGGTGTCCAGCAGACTCAGAAGAGAACTCAGTCATGCTCAAACCCCCAAGCCCAGCTCAAGTCCGGCTGCCAGGGCTGGGGGAGCTAGGGGCTTTCTGTCTGTTGGCGGCACAGTGTGGGTGCACAAGTCCCCCATTCGGGTACCGGACAAACGCAGGCTCCGAGAAGGGATGCTGGCACAGCTGGCAGAGCTTTTGGTCTGAGAGCCAAATGGCGCTGCCTCTCAGCTTCATCTGTAAAAGAAAGGAGCTCAGAGTGCGGTTGGCAGCCAGGGGCTCCTACAGAGGTGACACATGGCATCCCGGCACTACACTGATGGGCCGGCTTCCACGGGGGCTTCCTCAGGCAGCACACAGGGGAGGAAACAAACACTGGACCCTAGGACCCGGACAGAGGGACAGCTCCACATTCCCTGGACATAGTCATCATGGGGTCTGCGCCTCTCTCCACCTGTCTGGAGCTCTGGCTGCCTCAATCTAGGCCCCAGGGGGCTGGAGTGCCATCACCGCCTGCACCTTGATGGTGGGTGAGGAGAGAAAGGTACACAGAGCGACTTGGTCACAGTCATAGCAGTGCCGAGGCCTGGGAAGCTCTGCTGTCTCTGGAGGTCGCTAAGCGGCTAAGCTGAGGCACCCGTGTGCTGTGTCTGCCCAGGCAGGGCTGTCAGCACTGGCAGTCACCTCATCCTCATGCCTGTGCCCACCAGTGTGCCAGGATACACAGGCTGAGCCCCAGGGAAGCAGACCTTCTGTCAAGCTGCCTGCCCTCAATGTACTTGAGGTCTAAAAAGGAACATCACAAGCTCAGCATGGAGCAGCCAGGCGGGCATGAGAGAAGACTTGTCTGCTCCAGGGTGAGAGGTGCCATGGGAATAGCAAGCACAAGCCTCCCAGGCAGAGAGACAGCACATCCCCTCTGAGAGGCCCATGTGGCCAAGCAGGCTGTGCGGTCGGGAGGGATGGGCCAAAGGAGGGGAGGCCTCACTGGGGGACACTGGGGTCCCTACTTGGCGGGCCATGCAAGAGTCACCCGAGGGGGAGCAGAGAGTAGGGACAATGACGTAGCAGGGGTACCTCCGTGCACGGGCCCTGTGACCCTCTGAACCTCTGCCTGCCCTGTGTGTACGATGACACCACGTGAGGAGATGATGAAGCACTGAGGACCTCGAGGGAGCACAGTGTACATGCATCACTCATGCAGGGAGTGCAGCTGCTCTGATGGCTGCCCTGTCCCATCTGGCTGCGCCAGCCCCGCCGCTGCTGCCCCCTAGAGAAGAGTGGGACACCACATCCCTGGGCCGTACCCACCTTGTCAGCTGCATAGAGCAGGTTTTCCGACCTGGCCAGGCCAAGCGCCACCTGTGCAGTCCTCCTGGCATGGACAGTGCCCCTCATGGCCCCGGTGAGGAATGGGCTAAGCAGCTGCACCGACCAGGAGCCAGGCAGCAGCTGCAGCACCTGGGCGGCGTCAAAGTCCGTGGCATGGCGGTTGAGCAGATCCACGGCGGCCACGGTGAGCGTGGGGGCCGCGGGCCCGGCCTGCAGGTACATGGCAAGCAGCGTGTGGAAGAGGTGCTGGCGGCAGGGGGTGTCCTGGCCCTCGGAGCTCCACAGGCAGTAATCCTCGGCCGCTGCCGTGTCCCCCAGCTCGTGCACCAGGACCCGCAGGGCCTGCTCATGCTCGCCCAGCTTCCCGTGCAGGATGGCACGCTCCACGGGCAGCCCGGCACCCTGGATCCGCTCTGCAGGACAGAAGCCACTGAGGGGCAGTGTCACTGCCACACACCAGGCACCGCCCCCAGTACCCCTCAGACACAACAGAGAACTAGGGTGTTATTGAACCAGGAGACAACTCTAGAGACGTCTAGGAACCAACTGACCCCACGGTCCAGGACTGGAGACAGTTGGGGATGACCCTGACCCACCCCGACCGTCCTCCCAGGGCCATATCTGAGGAGAACACAGGTGCTTGCACCTTGGAGAGGTTCCAAGACCCTTGCTGAGGCCCCCGACTCTGCAGTGCTTGAGTCTCATGTAGGGAATATGGCACACACCCTCCCAGCCTTCCTGGGACCACGTGCCTCTCACGCCCAACAGGCTATTACACTACACCACTCAGGGGGCAGGGACCAGGACAAGGCCACTGCATCAGCACAGACACCTGTCACCACACTTCCCCACTGCTGTGGGCCAAGTCACAGACCCAGAACCCAGAGAAGGTGGGCCCCTGTGCACCCTTTACACACGGACGCTCTCAAAACTGCACCAAACCCTCCAGTCCAATTTCAAGCCTGCTCTGTGGAACGGACTGTGAAAACCGCATCCTCATTAGCCAAAGAAATTCGAGGATGAAACAGTTTTCTTCTCTTTTACCAATGAGCAAGATTTCAGGAAAGAAGGAAAAGATGAACCCCAAAGACTGTGCAGGTCCTGATCGAGGTGGGACACAAACGACTACCTTGAGGCTCCCACCCTGGTGGCTAGGGCAGAGAGCCGCAGCAACCCCCATCCTTCTGCTCACCTCACCTGCACTAAGCTCCCAGCACCCCAAGCAGCACCTCAGGCAGGAAGCATTACTGCAGCCTCCCTGGCCTGGCCTAGCCCGAGCCACTGGCCACATGGAGCACTGCCACCAGGTGGCATGGGCGAGTGAGCCCAGGGCTCACTGCCAGAAGCTCGGTCTTGAGAGTGGCAGTGGGGTTAGGGTCACATGACAGGATGGTAGAGCATGCACTTCAGGTGCATGGGCCTGGCTCCACCCCAGCACCCCACAAATATGCAGACAGACAGTCAGATCCCGGCGTGAGACAAGCAGGTCTCGCAGCTCGACCCCTTCTCCCCCTAAGGAGACGGTGTTGCACTGCCCTCACCTATCAGGAAGTGGACTCGGTACAGGTCAGATTTCTGCAGCAGGCGCCGCAGCTTGGTCTGTGTCTCGGTGGCTGTGGGGTCAGCTCCACCAGAGGCCGCCCTCTGCCGCAGCACCTCCTCCAGGTAGAGCACAGCCAGGTGCGTGTGGTACTCTTCTTTCTGGGAAGTGGAAGCAGGGTGGCATGCAGTGTTTGCAGCCGGAGTGCGGGGGCTCTGAGCAGCAGGGCTGCACTGAGCCCAGCTGGAGACTCCCAGAGACCCCAGCCCCAGCGCCCCTCTAGGCTGAAACCTTCTGGGGACCACAGTGCACACAGGGCAGCTCGAGACTCCAGGCGGTCCTCAGGTCACCAGGGTGAGGCCCCGCATTGACCGTAGGCCTTGTGCCTTCCTCCTGAATATGTGTCCTCTGCTCTGTTGTGGAGGTCAATACAGCCTAAGCAGCCGAAGGCCCCAACCCAGGAGTAGACAGCCAGGTCCACTTTCTGCGTGGCCACTGTGGTGCTTTGGCCCACAGCCCGAGCGGCTGGGAAGGCTCACCTGCACGTTCCTGTCCACCACCAGATGCTCCAGGTATCTGGCCAGGGCTCTGGGGTACTTCTTGAGGCAGCTGATGACATCGTCTGGATTAAAAATATTCTGCTGCTCGTCCAGAGGCCGCTTGGTGAAGACCTGAACTCCAACCTGAAGCAGAACACAGCTCGTCAGCAGGGCGCTCGAGGTCACCCTTCCCCACCTCCATTTCGGCCACCACGGGTTGCGCCTTGGATAAGGTCAGTGCAGCGGGTGCAGTGACCAGTACACTGCAGGGCCATGGCTCTCGCCATGTTCCTCACAGCGCCACCAAGCGGCTGGGAAATGTTTTTCAGGAGAAAACAGTTCAACAAGAAGCACTCGCAGAGACTGGAGTACAAAGCCAAGCTAAAATAGCACCCTATGCTTGGAATGCTGCACACATCTGCCAGAAGTTTCCTAAAAGTTCGAAACCGAAGAAAGCAGCACTTGTTGGTAACAGACTTCAAGGACCCCAGGGGAAACCACCCGGCACTCTCAGGGTCACCCCATGCCAAGGAGGCACTGGCCTAGGAGTTAGTGAACCGGCAGGGAAGTGCTGAGGTCTTGGTGCCAGGACCCAGGGCTCAGGCCACAGGCGACCTCCCCAGCCCGGGGAAAGCAGCCAACCTGAGCTGGACACTGGGCAGTCTTTAGGCAGCTTCCTGGGCCCTCACAGGAGCGATTCCATCTTCTATGGAAGGGCCAGCGAGGCAGTGACACCCAGGCTGGCCCCCTGGGCACTCCTGTGTCACCCATCACACACACAAGCTGCGAATCCACAGGAGCATGGCCTCTGGGTTCTCTTGGCCGGGCCTGTGCATCACTTCTAGCACCCCTGCCTGCACCCCTCTGAGCTTCAGTAACTCACATCCACCTGGCAGGGTCACGTGCTGTCCAGAGGTGACCCAGTGGGCATGTGGACTTGGGTACCTCCTGATGTCCATGCCCTGGAGCCCCAAGAAGGGGGTCCAGGCATGGCAGGCAGCTCTGTAGGTTGTATAGAGGACAGTGGGGCAACAGCAGGTGGCATCAGGAGCACAGGCTCCAGCCGGGCCTTGGTAGGCAGATGAAACCTCAGAAGGTCCTCACTGAGGACAAGGTCCTGCCTCAGAGCGAGCTGCCTCTCCAGGAGCCAGAGCAACATGTGGTCACTCAGCAGCAGGAATGGAAACCCTTGTCACCTGTGGGTGCTACTCAGGACTCAGCCCTCAGCCACACACTCCCTCCATCACTAATAAGCTGGATCCTGCTCTCCGCACTCCCACCATTCCCCTGAGCCCGTGTCTGGAGAGGGGCTGAGAAGAGGACATGACCATGCCCTACAGGCGACCTGACCCAGCTGCAGGACACAGCGGTGTCAGACTTCAGGTGGGGCAAAAAACACCAAGGCACCAAGAATGGCGGGCTTCCTGCTGGAAAGCAGCACGACTCAGAAGCACCAAACTGCCAGCGCTCCTCCAGACCCAGAGTTCAGATGATTGAAAGGCACAAAAAGGAGAAAAAAGCCAGATGGGGTGCCCCACGCCTGTCATCCCAGCACTTGGGAGGCTGAGTCAGGAGGATCACAGAGAGGGTGAGGGCAGCCTAGGCTACGTAGTGAGCTCAAGGAGCTCACTCCTATGGTGAACTACACCAGGAGACTCTGTCTCTAAATGAATGAATGGCTAAACAAATAAATGGGAGGCAATGGGGGGACAGGAGGGGAGCTGGGCATGGGGGCGCACACCTGTCAACCTACCACCTGGCAGGCGAAGGAATGCCAAGAGTTTAAGGCCAGCCTGGCATACCTAGTGAAAGCCTGTCTCAAAAAACCAGAGAGAGAGAGAGAAACTGAGGCAACTGCAATGCCACTTCGGCCCCACTCGGACCAGGGTTTGGTTTGGGCTGTTTCTCTCAGCCGTCTGGGGAGGGCTCCCAAGGATGCACGTACCTCCTCGCTCCTCTGCAGCACCCAGTCTGCGTAGGCCCACACCAGCTGCTGGTCCGAGCAGCAGGCGAGGAAATCCACAATGTACTCGTACAGGTCGGCGCGCGTGGAGTCCTGGATGTCCCCGTTTACGATGTTCACCCACAGCTGGACGGAACGGAGTGAAGGTTACACACCCTGGAGATGCAGCTCAGAGGGGCCACGCTGCACTCCTGGCCTTGTGAGGCTCAGAAAAGTAAGTGGAAAGCCCTAAGACCCAAAATCAGAGGCCTTTTAAAGCATGTGACCCCATACTCTGGGCTTCAGTGTTGGGTTGCCCTACCAGTACAGTCTAGGTGAACATTCCAGGATCTGAGAAACCAAAATGTGAACTTTCCAGGAGCCGAGAAACCAAAATGTGAGCTGCTTCCGAGCCCAAGCACTTTGCATAAGCAATACTGCACCTGCTGCAGGTCAAACCATACATGCTGAGCACAACCTTAACTTGTTTTAGAGAAAGAAATGTAAAAAGACACAGTCTGGAAGATGAAGACAATAAGCCTAGTTCCTTCCTTCCTTTTCCTTCTCTCCCTCCGGCCCTTCCCTGCTTGTACAATCCATAACACGACAGCAGACATTTGGGAGAGTGGAGGGCGACAAACGTGTTTCTCCATAAATTGGGGAACATCACCCACGCCTGGGCTGCAGGGGTAGCACACCCCTCCCCAAAACCTCTCTTCCACCACAGTCCCAGGCCCCGGGGCCTCTGTCTCCAAGGCGCCCCCATCTTCTGCACAAGGAGCTTGGGACAGAGCCCGATGAAGAAAGCTTTCTGCCACTAGACAAGAAATGCCCCTCCATGATTACTAAGCTGGGTTCAGGGCCACGGAGGCAGCAGCATGCAGGGGGACAGAGGCCACACAGGGGTCCCCCATGTCACCTGCCCATGAGCCTTAACTCTTTCTACCTGGCCGCACCTCTGAGACCCACGAAGCTCCTGGGAATGAATGAGGCAGTGCTGTGAGCTGTCGGTCTGACGCCAGCATGCCAAGCTCCCTCTCCCAGCTGGACCAGCTGGGCACCTGGGGGCACAGGGCTCCGGACCTCAGCCGGCTCAGCTTTCAGGACAGTCACACACATGTCACAGCACACTTGTAGTTGGGACTCAAGCTGATGCCTGAACCGCACACGTTCCATGTAAACTCCACTATAACGCGGCCTGGAGGGAATCTGATGTCTTTTAGGTGATTTCTTACTCAAAACAGAGTTACACAGTGTCGAACTTTCCACTTCAGGTGTCACGCCAGCTCTCAAACAGGTCTGGATGTTTGGGTCAGAAATATTCAACCTCCAACAGTGCATGGCCCAACCAAGTGGCTTAGCCCCACCCGAGCCCATCGCGCAGTGCTTTCCTTAAAAGATTTTGCTGCCTATGGAAGTTTACTCTGTATTTACTCTGTCTTATTGCAAGTTTGCAAATTTCTTTCTCCATTTAGTTTTGTTAATATTATTGTACTTACATCACATTATAATTCAGAGAACACCACGTTTTAAAAAAATGAGAAATGTAAGCCAGGCCTGCTGGGGCACACTATAATGCCAGCCACTCAGGGGGCTGAGGCAAGAAGAATCGCAAGCTCCGGGCCATCCTGGAGAGCACAGAAGACCCCACTTCCAAGTAAAAACTGAGAAAGGACTGGGAGCATAGCTCAGCGGTCAGCACTTGCTCAGCGTGTGTGGCCCTGGGTTTGACTACCAGGAAGCGAATAAATACATATATAATCAGTGACCCTCAAATCCAGTCTTACACTGGGGTACACATTCACGGGAACCCATTCTTCATCTTATTCTGCAATTTTGTTATCACGATAGATCCTCAAATTCACCGAAGACTAAACCCCTGGCTCTCGAGCTGTGTTAGCCTGGTGAATGTGGCCGATGTCCTAGGCTCCACACAAAATTAAAAGAAAAGGCATATGAGAGAAGGGTCACCCAACACCACACAGGGGGACAGCAGGGCAGCAGGGAAGGAGGTCCTGGGAACGTGGGACACGGCCTCCCTGAGTGAGGGGAACTGCTGGACGCTGTAGCACACTATGCTGGCCTCTGCCCAGGCACTACCCTCACTGGCCACCGGGAGCACTGGCTCGGAGACAGCCCATGCTGACCGCCAGGCCCTGCCCAGCCCGACCACCATGATGTGGGCACAGCTATGACTCAGCTCTTCACAACCACTATCATCAACAGCAGAGAAACCACAAGCCCTGCACCCAAGGTTTCTGATAAGCACTCAATTCACATGCTGTGCGGCTCTGTAAGACATCTCATTTTCAAGGTGGTTTCATGAAAGTCGCGTGAAGAGTGGTTGGCAGAGCCCAGGAAAACACGGGCCAGATGGCCTTCAGTCACGCCTACCAGAAGACAGTTGGGCTGGAGAAATAAGGCCTGGTGTCTCAGCTCGGGAACAGAATTACTACACACTTTAGAAGGAGCCGAAACAGAGGCATGCCAAGGTTCCCAGCACAAAGAAACGATACATTTATGGAGACAGAGATACCAATGACCCTGACCTGCTCACTCCACACCGTATGCAGGCACTGAGTGACCACGCTGTGCCCCACAGGTGTGCGCAACTGTGTGCCAGCTAATATCTACTAAGAAAAAAATCCTCAACACTATATATTCCTTCAGTTTTCAAAGGCTCGATTTTGATAATGTTCCTTAGAGAAAGGTAAAGACAAAGAAAAGAAGACATTTGGCCATCAGTTCTCAAAAAACTCATTTCCTAAAACAGTATTATTTCTGTTCCACATAAATAAGGTTACGGATCAGACAAATGTGGTCTCTATCAATCTGAGATTTTTTAAAAGTGGAGCTAAGTTAAATGGTACCAGCTTGCAAATGATCAAAGACGCCTGTAAGCTCACCTGCACCGCAGTGGCGTCCTGGTTGTTGTAGTGGTAGAGCAGACCCAGCGCAAAATACCTGCAAGAGACAGGTGGTGAGCAGGAGCGCCCCCACCGGGATTGCAGTGGTCACTGCATGGGCCCTGGGTGAGGGAGCTTCCTGACAGTGCCCCAGAGAGGAGCACAGACAGGCAGGCTGGACTGGCTGGGACACACACTGCGGGAGGACACTCACTTTCTGTGCTTTTCCAGCCAGGCCACGCTGTCCGTGAGGAGGCAGAAGTTCTCGGTGACGAGGAGGTCCAGCAGGCTGTCGTGGTCGGCCTCTGCATACAGCTTGAGCAGGGCCGTGTCAATGTCCTCCTTGTAGCCATTGGCCACTTCCGTGCTACGGACCTCGCTGAGGTAGCTCATGAGGAAGCGCTTGCACTTGGCCATCTTCTCCTGGTCACCCTGTGTCAGCTGGTTCAGGTCTGCGTACTCGTGCAGTGGGGGGTGAGAGCGGGTGAAGGAGGAGGAGGTAGGCAGCAGGAATGGGTGCAGGGAGATCAGCTCCCGGACATCGAGCTGCCCGCTCCTGCAATGAAAGCATGAAGCCACATGGAGGGCCAGGCCGCGGTGGGCACAGGACAGCGGGGTGGACAATGCACCTTAATCTGCAAGTGCCAGAGCACTACGGAGAGGATGGGGCAACAGTGAGAGCCAGTGGGACCTCAAAACACCTGTGCTGCCAGCTGGAGAGGCCACTGGGGTCTCCAGGGCTGACCAACTCCGACACTAAACCGCACACTGCTGAGCACCCCTGGGAGGGGAATCTATAAGACCTGCAGCTAAGACGCCACTGGGGAGGTGCTGGGCTCTGTCCTGAGGACAGACAGGCCATGCCAGCCAGCAGAGGGCACTTCCCACAGCATCCCTGAGAACAGGCATGTCAGGCTCACCCAGGAGACCTGCGGCAGTGTGGGGATACCGAGGCCCGCAGGAAAGGGCTGAGGCCCACAGCAAGAGCAGGGTCACGCTGCAAGCCACCCTGTCCTGGGGGCCTGGGGTGGGGAGCACAGGTCCCAGGCCTGGGAGAACTCAGTGGCAGGGGCAGCCCCTCCCATCACCTGAATAGCTCTTTAGCTTCTAGGAACTGGAGCTGGGCAAACTGGATGAAGCCGGCCTGCTGCAGAATCCTCCTGTACATCACCTGCAAGGAGAGACAGGGTTCCCGTCTCAGAAATGCCCTGAACCATAGGGGGTGGGGACCCATGACCCAGGCTAAACCTTAGCTATCATGGAGCTATGCGAAGCTGTAACCTGAAGAGTAAGGAGCCCATGACATTTATCAGACTGCCCTCCCTCGGAGACAGGCACTTGTTCCAGGACAGATGCCAGCCTCTGCCAGAGTCCAAGACCCTTTCTAGAACATGCTGTGCTCCCACAGAGGTGGTACGATCCTCCCAGAGCCCGTTCGACCTTCCCACAGACTCCGCACCACCTCAACTCCGAGCGATACCCGCCGCAGCATCAGTTCCATGGAGAAGGCTGTGATGCTGCACTGCTTCGAGACCAACGTGAAGAAACAGTCTGCACATGTCGTCCGCCCCCCCCCCCCCCCCCCGCAGCTTTGTCGCTGTTTTTTCCCTTCAGTGCTGAGCCTCCCCGGGCCCCACTGAGCCAGGCATTCGCAGTGCCCCGCTCTCTAGGGCATGGCTGAGGTTCCGCCCCAGCCCCAGAAGAAACGGCTTTGGAGACTTTAGAAATCGTGCAAGGCCAAAGCCCACACTGCTGCCTTGGACCAAACTTGGTCTGGCCCAACACCCCACCCAACAAGAAGCAAAGGCAGCAGGCCCAGGCTGTCACCTGGGGACACCAGTTCCACTTCTAGGGGGAAGCGACAGAGGCCTTTACAGCAGAGGACAAAAAGGATCCTTCGCCGCAGATTGGAATGCTCCCCATCATCCACAAGGAACTGGCAGGTGATCATCAGCCCCTCTGGCTATAGGGCCCTGCCCCACCCCACCCGAGGGCAAGGGAAAGTGCTCCTCTTCTCTCCCATCTGTGAGAGCAACGTTTTGAGTGTGCTCCAAACTCGGTTAGTACTGCGTTCCCTTGCGGATGGAAAAGATGTTTTTAGAAACAATCTAAAGCTCAGATTCTGCACAGAGCAGCTGACAGCCCAACACCTGCTCTCTGTCACCTCCTTGGAGGCAGGGGTTTGAGGCTGAGCTCTGCTCTGCTGTCTGGAGTGGGCTGAGGCCAGGGCAGTGACGCCAGACAGCACGCAGGGGTGCTCTGCCCAGGCCGAGGCCAACAGAAGCCCACACCTCTCCAGGCTGGATGTGAATCTGTGCAACATGGAGAAGGCGGGACAGGCAGGAACCTAGAGATCCCAAACCAGAGAGCAGGCAACTCATGATTTTATTGGGTACTGACCGTGACCTCTGCTCTTAGCAGAGCAGAAAAAGACACTGAACACTGAAAGCCCCTGAGAGAAAACGTCACACTGCAAGTGTGCAAGGTGCACATACTCAGTGGAGACAACCCCACTGGCACCCCAACCGAGCGGCTGGCACGGCCCCACAGGACCCCAACAGTGCAGATGGCAGCACGCAGGAAGACAGGAGCCGAGGAGAAGCAGCAGCCGACTCCAAGCTTGGGCCTCGCCCTCCCACCCTGCCATGTCCAGCAGTGGAAGGGAAATGAACAGGGAGGCCCCGCAATGGAGCCAACAGGTCACAACTTTCTTCCTTTTGCCTCTGCTGCCCCCTGCTGTACACAAGTGGAACTCACCTAAATAGAAGAGAGCTGTAATGGTGACACTGGCAGAAGACGCCCCAGATCCTGTCACCCTGAAGGACAAAGATGGCCTCGCTGCACTGGATTCACACATGACCCCTCCCGCAGGCATTGGCTGCAACCACAATACCGCACTTCGATCCACAGTCAAAGTCGAGCCTGGAACCTGATGGGCACCACTGATCCCCAAGGATGCTGCCTGATCCATGCAGATGGCCAGGCGCACACCAGCCTCCTGCTCATTACTCTCCAGGGAGTGGTATGGCCAGGACAATCAACAGCTGGAACTTGATGTATGTAATGACCCTGATCACACCAGCCGCTTTTAAACTTGTAAACACAGTGTGTGAGCTGTTTCCTCCTAAAGGAACCAACCCAAGGGCCCACAGCAGGAGGACTCCACCGGCACAGGGGCAGTGGCTTTCCCACCAGTGACACAAATCTAACCTTGAACCCAACCCGTTCCCAACAGACACAGGTTCTAAAATCAGAGCCCAGTTCACCAGACTTTGCTCTTCCAGTTTATGATAACTGTGTTCTTGATTCTGCACTGAAGGCCACTGAAGAGAGTGACCAAAGACACAGCCCAACGCTGTGTGGCGGGAGCTAAGCACCCGAGCGAGCACGGCGGCAGCAGACCACAGCCTCCTAGCCGGTGGCTGCCAGCCTGTTTTGTGAGCGGCTGATTACAAACCTGGAACTTTTCCTTCGGAATGTTCCTTCGGGCTCCTTTCGCCAAGACCAAAGCCTCCTCCACTCTGCGGCTGGCCAGCAGATCCTGTATTTGTTTTTCCAGAGGTAATGGGACCAAGATGTAGACTCCTTTGCTTGTGGCGACGATCACTCTTCCTGGGGAGAAAGTTAGAACGCTGGAAAGGGAAGGAACCTCGCCGGCCTCCCCGGCACACTGAGTTTTCCCCAGAGTTCTGACAGGAAGCACACATGCCAAGGCTTCCTCCGTCTGCCCTGGCCCTCGGCTGCAGGAGTGTGGAAATCCCTCGGGCCTCCCGTTGTGTGGGCTGCCAGCCCAGGTGGAGCCAGGCCAGGACTATGTGGGTCTCACACGGGATCTGGTGCAGCTTCGCTTCCTCCTGTGCTAGACTAAGACTACAACGCAACCTCGCCTTCTGCCTACCTCTGGCCCACCAGCTCACCCTCCCATTGCCTATCCTCGCTGTCCCTGTCACTGTCCTGTGAGAGCCCACAGGAAGCCCAGGCGGAATCTGAACTGAGGATGGAGCATGCAGACTCTTAACCCGCTCCTCCTCGGAGGCCGGCTCTGTAGCTCCGTCCTGGAAGCCGCAGGTCCCTCTGCCTTGGTCTTTTGTGCCCTGGTGCAGGCTGCTGTTCTCACCCCAGCTCTGTCACTCTGCTTGGTGTCACCTCCTTGGTACCCATGACTTCTGCCTTGGCCCTCTCTACTCCTCTCGCTGAGCGGCCCCTGACACCACTGCTCCACACCCAGCCACGTGGAGTCAGGAATATTTATTGGACAGCACTGTAGCTCAGTGCGGTCTCCCCGGTGGCCCCCAGGACCCCAAGAGCAAGGCAGAAGACGCATGGCTGCTCTGAGTGCTTCCGGCCTTTGCTTGCCATTTTCCCTCAATAAGGAGAAGAGGCCACTTACACAGCAACAGGCCACACTGGCCACCAGGGGTGATGGGTGCACAGCAGGCTGAGCTAGGTTTACCCGCTCTGTGAGGACTAAAGGTCACAAGGGGCAGTTTGAGGGCCCTGGGACCCGCCGGAGGACACCAAGCTAAGACTGAACAGACGCCCACTGCGGTCCAGCACCTCAGCAGGATCTGATGCACTTCCTGTGGGTACTGAGTTTCTTCCCAGTTTAAACCCCAGCAGCAGAGAGGTTTCCATACATCTGAACACATCCAAAATAAAACTGGGCCGGGCCTGGTGGCACACACCTGTGATCCCAGCACTTGGGAGGCTGAGACGGGAGGGCTTCTGTGAGTTCAAAGCCAGGCTGCACTGCATAATGAGACCCTGTCTGGCCTGTGCTCCCCACCAAAAAAAAACCCCAGGGAAGTGAAGAAGCTGCTTCAACTGGCACACATCACCCAGGAGTCTGTGGTCGCCATGCCTTTGGTCGCTCCACAGACCCTGTGTGCAGAGCTGCAGGCCTTCCCCACCAGGAGGTTCCCCACAGTGCAGCTGCTTGGCTGACTGTGGACCCCCAGTCTCCGGGAAGCACCTCCCTGCTGCCCTCCCAGTGGGACCATGCTCCGCACCCAGGCTGTGTCACTTGCACTGCAGTGTCTGGACCCTGCACTATCCCTGTGTCCTCCGCTCCCCACAGCCCCAGCAGCACTTCCTGAGGAAATGCACCACGAATCCCGCAGCGATGCCAGCCGTACCTTCGAAGTCCTGCAGGATGTGGCCCTCCCTGAAGGGCAGTGTCTGCTTCTGCTGCTGGTCCAGCATGCTGTGGACGGTGATGAACTCGCTGTCCAGTGCCAGCACGTAGGGGAAGCACACAGCCGCCCCGATCACATTCTCTGACCAGTGTACAGGGGCCCTCTGGGAGATCCCGGCAACGGTGGCGAACATGCCTGGAGAGCAGGGGCAGAGTCAGGGGGGTCTTTGGAGACCCCGTGCCATGCCACACCAAGTGTGCGGGCAGCGCACTCTCTCACCCTCTTGCAACCTCGCTTCAGGAAAGGAAAGCTGAGGGGATCCAACTGCCTGCACCAGGAACCCTGGTTTCCCAACTAGGGGAACAGAATCACATCTCAGGAGGTGAGGTACTCCAAACATGTGCTCTCCCAACCAAACAGAGTTAAAAATGCTGCTGCCATTTCCCTTGTATACAAGTTTACAAAGTGCACGGCCTCAGCAACACGCCCAGGCCACCTGCCTTGGCCCTCAGCTCCGCAGGCCCACCTCGGGCCTCCCGAGCACCCCCTGTGCGCCAGGCTCCCGCTATGCCTGCTGTCGGAGCGGAGGTCTAATTTCGAGAGCTGGTCCTGCTGCTGTCTGCAGCACACCTCCCCTCTCTAAAGGCACGAACTGTACTACAGACATAGAACCACTCGGCAGTTCACGACCCTGCAGAGTGTCGCCAACAATAACTTCCTGTTAAGGCACAGTCATCTGTCTCACCAGTGAGGCCCTAACTCGGGGTTTACTGCAATGACTAGGTGTGCCAAGAGCAGCAGGGCATTTCAACTCGGTTTCCAGGCCGTGACATCAAGCACCTTTGAAAACAACCCGATTCTGAGAGGAGGCTGAATGCCACCACAGCCGCAGCTGCTGCAGACAGGTGGTCTTCAGGACAGACGAATGGATGGTGGGACCAAGAGCACAGGCAGGAGAAAGCTGAGTGTGAAGCCCAGGCTGGCAGTCATGCTGGAGAGGTGTGGGAGGGATCGGGACCTCCTCTGGTCAGTGAGCCTCGGGGATGAGTGCCCGGGGCTGAGGCTGAGGGTCAGGGGCAGCAAGCCACAAGAGTCGGGGGCAGGAACCGCGCGTAGGAACCCACACTGTGACACATCTTCACCCAGGCAGCCAGGAGGATGTGACCCAGCACTGAGATGGTCACAGAGCAGACCTGGACTCCTGCTGAACTTCTGGTCACACCAGCTGCTCTATGCATCACCTCTCACTGCAGCAGACAAGCCTCCACAGTACTGTCCAGCCTCGTCCTGTATTTGGACAGCAGCCCGAGACCACCTACTGCTGGCTGGACAATCCACCAGGGAGTGGCACAGCGCAGAGGCTTCACTCACATCCCTGACTTAAAAGGGCAGGAACCAGAGGCCAAGAGCAAAGGCTTCTATGGAATAAGACAGCAAAGCCATAACTGGAGAACGGAAAGGCAAGGCAAGGCCACAGCAGGGACTGCAGACCCGAGGACGGAGGGGTGACACTACTGGCACCCCTACTTGCTTCCACACCAGGGCGGGGACGATGGAGTCTCTGTCTCCAGCCTGCAGAATGTCCCTCAGCTGTCACTGCTCGAATGCAACAGATCGGTAAACCATCACTCAGAAGCCATCCTCTTCGGGGGGCCTATCTAAGTTTCAGTCGGGCTGTGCCTTGAGCTAAAGTTGGAATATGTGGGTGGAAGAGCACCTGCATCATTTGCTTCCATCAGGAACCGTCATCCGGGCATATAGATAAGTTGCCACAAGCTCCTGTAGTACAACAATTTGCTTTGCAAAAAGTGAGAAGCAAACTTCCCATGACCCAGGCATGGACATGAGCTAATGCAGGGAGAAGACAGCAGACAATGAAGACAGCTGTCGTGCAGCAGCACATCCGCATTCACCCCAGTAGTGTGCACAGACTAATGCTGGGGATCGATGCGCTGAATCAGTAACCTATGGAAACACAGTGCATGTGACCTCTCAATCTGCCTGCACTCACGCCAGGTACAAGCAGTACGCCCACCAAGAAGGTCGCTCACTTAGCGCGATGCCATGCCATGGAGACAGAGTGTCCCTGGTGGAGGAACCTCACATGCCTACCACTTCCCTTCCATCCTCTCACTCCAGCTAGCAGCAGATGCCTTCAGCATAAAGCAGCCAACGATTGGAACACAACCAGGCAAGGGACAGATGGGACAATACAGAAAACCCAGACGCCACGCAGGGAACAGGGAGATTCCTCAGACACGAAAGGCCACTGTCTGAATCGGGGGAGAACTGGGCAGCCTTAGAAAAGTTGAAATGGCTCTGTTCTTCACACACGAGGATGAGCAGAAAAGATAGGCGATGTGTCTCGGCCAGTGTGGAGGACTGACAACTGGTGGTCAGCTAGTAGCCCTGGCTGACCCCAGTGGGCATGGTGCTGGTGTGGAGGGCCCGCCTGAGGGTCGCTGCCAGCAGCGTAGAAGAAGCCCTGGAGGGGAAGAGGGTGCTGTTGATCCCCTTGGAAAGGTTTGCTGCATTTGACTCTTTGGATATAAAATAATTCTATAAATGACGTGGTCTGTAGTAATGTTTCTCTTGCAAACGCTGCCTACACAGCCAGGGAGGACAGTGAATCCCTGATTGTGACTCAAGATCCAGAGGCAAGAAGAGGTAGATAGTGTAGGTTACTGAGAACTCTTTAATAAAACCTACTGTCTGTCAAAAACTACACACAAGCATTTGAAACTTATGTGGCACACAACCTGGTGTCTCAGCTATGCAAGGGACACTGAGACAGGCTGCTGGTGATTTGGCCCTGGTGTGCACCTTAAGTGTGGAGTATCTACCTCGTGTGCATGAGGCCCTGGGCTCCATGCCTAGCACCAGAAAAAAGATTTAAAACAAAACAGAATAGCTACTCAGCAACATCCACATAGAGAAATGCAGATGGCTCCCAAAGACGCCTGACCTGCGCATAGGGACGCACAAACCATAATGTGGCTGAGAAACCATTTCTACAGCCCTAGGCTGCAAAAACCCAGAGCTGTAGGCAATGGGCTGTGCTGGCGAAGGTGGGGAAAACACCACTGCCATACATTCCAGGGAGAACATTACATGGCAAGACCCTTACGGAGAGGGGCTATGGTCAGACCTAGCAAGGGTCACGCGTATTCATATGGGCTCAGCAGTCCCCCAGAGAAAGCTTCCTGAGATATACTGAAAATATACATACACGCATAAGCACAGTAAACTCCTGCCTGAGACCAGGAAAAAACCCAAATGTCCACCCTCAGGGGACTAGGGAAAAAGTGTGGCACAGCCACACAGCTGAGTGGCATGTAGGAATTAAGAAAAAGAGAGCTAGGCACAGCAGTGCACACCTGTAATTCTAGCACTCTCGGAGGCTGAGGCAGAAGGATCCCAAGTTCAAGTGGAGATTTGGTAACTCAGTAAGACCCTGCCTCAAAATTAAAAAAAATAAAAATAAAAAGGAATGGGTTCTTTGGTTCAACCCTGAGGACCACAAAACAAAACAAAAAAGACAAGGAAGAGGAGGACCATAGTTCCAGCTACTAAAAATGCTGAAACGAGGACCTCTGGGGCCCAGAGCTGGAGGCCAACCTGAGCAACACGGTAAGACCCCATCTCAAACAAACAACAAGAAACTCAGCAGTGAAAGGTCTTTATTTTATGCCACACAATGATCACTATATAGATTAAGGTAAAAAAGTACAGCAAAGAAAAGTATACTACCATTTAGTCAAAAAAAGAGAAACACAAATGTAGTATTTTTTATAGATTTCAAGAATGAATGGAAAGCCTTAGAAATAAAGGCTACCACTGGGAGGAGAGACGGAGTGGTATGGAAATGCACCGATCCTCCCCGGCTGCACCCACACGCCTTGGAAATCTGTAAACACTCACACAACAAAAATAAACAAAACCAAAGCAATTTCTTAAAATCTGGAAGTAAAAGGAAACCAACGAATGGAAACATGCTCAGTTGGTGGCATAACCACATAGCGGGGAACTACCACAAGTGACCACACTGCACGTTTTCATTTCTGCTACCCTGAGGACCACAGGCACCACCAGCAATCAGGCTTTCTAGGAACTACACGGTGGGAACCACTGTGCGTACTGGGGAGGCATCAAAACAACAGGCACAGTGGGAAGAGGACGGACACAGAGAGCCAGGAGATGCTTTCCACCCCAACGGTGATATCCTGAGAGGGACGGAGGCCAGCACTGCCTGCCTGGACCCAGTGGGCGCAGAGGTGCAGGAGGAGAGGCTGGAGCCAGACCTGCAGGAGGAAATACAGGTGAGTGGGGGGATTGGGAAGTCAGGGGGCTGCGGGTTTCCAGGGACAGGTCCAAGGGGCTCGGGCAGCCGTGTGCATCAGCTCCCAGCCGGGCCAGGTGGGATGGAAGGGCACATCCCCGCTGTGGGAGCCGGCACCATGTGGCCATTGAGGTGCTCACCAGAGTCACTGCCAGAGGACCAGGGTGCCTCAGGGCCTCACCTCCTCCCTTCCATCACATGCCTGGTTGACCACATGGGGGTCAGCTCCCTGCAGCGCAGGAAGGAGGGCTGGACAGAAGCAGAATGTCATGGGCTAGCTGTCCCTTGGGATGGGACTGATGCAGGCAATGGTTATCAAGCAGCCATTCCCATCACACAGGGATGACACTATGGGGCCCCCTGCAGCACCTCACCACCACAATGCAGTCCTGCTTCCCACAGAGCCTGCAAATTAAAACCCCCAGATCTCCTGGTCACTCATTTGCGGGAAACAGAAGTCAGAGCATCAGATTTAAACAACACAGGGAACAAAGTCAGACCGGGAAACTAGAGGTGAAACCATCCAGCTGCTTCAACAAAAATTAGCATGGTGGGGCACTTAAAGGAAAACCCTAAAGGAGTTAGAGACCCACTGCAAGGTGTGGGCCTTGGCTGGGATGCTGCAAACCAACTGAAAAGCGCATGACACAGGGTGTAGGCGGACACACGTGTATGTGTCTGTATCTCTGTACATCTTATCACGCGGTATGCTAATGGAGATGGTGCCCACCAAGACATCCTTGGAGCATCAAGGGACTGCTGTTGGATTTTTTAGGTGTACAGCTGTGTCTTTCCTCTGTGTGCATGTGTGTGTATGTGTGTGCATGTGTGTAACAGAGAAATGTACACTGCAGTATCTGCCGATGGAAGGCAGCGGTGCCTGGCGCTTGCCTCGCAGGCAGCGGGCAGCAGGTGAAGCCACACAGGCACTTGTGGCACTGGGCTCGCTGTGCCATTCTTGTGACTGTGCACTTGCATGTGCTCTGGGGAAGAAAAACTTTCATCACAAAATGTCTTTCCCTTGTTCCAAGAAAAGGGTGGTTAGGATAAAGAATTTTTTCTTAAAAAACTAAAAGTTGGAGCTAGCATACCAGGAGACAACGTGAGGAATGTTGAACATACATTACTAAGTGAAGAAACCAAGGTAGAACTGGGTGTGGTGGCTGAGCCAGTGACCCCAGCCAGGCAGAAGACTGAGGCAAGAGGACTGCAAATTCAAGACCAGCCTGGCAACTTAGCAAGACCGTCTCAAAACAAAAAATAAACAGGCCAGGGGACATGGTACACTGAGGGCCAGCTTGACGTGGCACAAGTAGACAGTAATTAATAGTAATAAAGTGACCCAAAAATAAACTGAGAGTCTGTCCCAGGTCTACGTGACTTGTGGTGAGACCTACAACTGGCTTAAGGACAGATTAATCTTTAAACCAATGGCCAGAGCGGAGGCCAGCAAACAGCCTGTGAAGTTCTGGCTCCTAGAAGCAAGATAACAGGGCTGCTTCAGACAGGACTCCTGTGGATTCCAGCTGCTCAGAGGCTGGCTCAAAGGTGGCCATGAGCAGACAATCGGGTCACCAGTTAACCCTGACCTGCTCCTGTGTGCTTTCCCAAACTGCACGGTATGCTTCCTGCAGCCCACCAGGACAACCTGATTATGCTATGTGCCTCCTAAAGGCCAGAGGACCGGCCTTGGGCCATGGCCTGTTCCTGGGCTCTGACTATCCTGGTGCCCTTGTAACTAAAATTGACGTTTGGTTTCTTTTGTCCTGTCGCTGTCCCTCTGAGCAGATCTGTCGTCCTAGGCCTGGACTCCAGTAATGGCAGAGGGCAGAGTCCTGGGTTCAGAGCCTGGCACTGCCAGGAAAAAGTCAGGCTGAACAGCTGAATCCTGCGTGCCTCTAACTAGGAAAGGGCAGAGCCAGGGCTGGGCTGGGACCCTGCTCCACGCTCTGCTGCCGGGTATGTGTCCAACCTGCGGCTCGCACCCTACCAGCAGGGGGCGCCGTGTGTCCATGACAAGCCTCTAGCAGGTGCCGAGGAAGGGGGAAGGGGAACCATGCACAGAGACCCAGGTACTGAGAGCTGCGGCTGCTATGCATCTGAGAAGCCTAAAGTCAGCTCTGTTTTCAAGGTAAACCTAACGGTGTTTGCCAGCTGGCTCACCCTGCGTTTCAGTCAGGGTTCTGCACTCCCCACCCTGAGATGAGAAGTCCACATGGAAAACACCCGCACTGGAATGAGCGGCTCCTCAGTGGCACCCTGGATGCATGCATACCCACAAACCTCAATGGGAGCCACTGGGATGGGAAGAACAAGGGCCACTGCTCTGTCCTCAGCCTGCTGTTACCGGGAGGCCACGAGAGGCCTGGCTGGGGCCGTGTGGGGACAAGTGGAGCCCCTTTCGAGGGCCAACAAGATGCTCTGGTGGATGAAATCACAGGAAATGAGAGGACACCATGGTCACTGTGGTCTGGATTCAGTGGCCTCCAAAGGCCCACAGGCAAGGCTCGGCTCTGAGGGCAACACTGGGAGGATAGCAGGACCCTCAGGACCAGCCTCAGGGAAACCTTTAGTCCACTGGGCGCTGTCCTCCTCTCACTCCCTGGCTGGCCAAGAGGTGGGCCAGTCGCAATCTGCACTCCAGGCAGAGGCGGGAAACACGGCCCACCTGACCATGCACTGGAGCTTCCGCAGCCATAGCCAACCCAAACCTTTCTACTTTATAAGTTGAGAATCTGGGAATTTGTCATAGCTACAGGAAACTGACTGACACACACATGTGAAAATGCTTACAAGCTACCTCCACCCCTTTTTAGAATGAGGAATAAGAACAATCAAGGAATGAGCCAGGTAGGTGGCACATGTCTGTAATCGAGCACTCAGGAGGCTCGGTCAGGAGGAGCAATGTGAGTTCAAGGCCTACCTAAACTACATAAGGAGTCCCTGCCTCAAAAAAGAAGAAAAAAAAGGAAAGAAAAAGGAAAAAGAAGTCAAGGGACAAACCCACTCATATGGGAAAATCTTATAAGAAAGCCTTGAAGAATTTTTTTATTTTTGTAGTTAAAAGAAGTAAAAATAACTAAGATGCCATTTATATAGGTACCAGTTCCCAAAGTGAATGTAATTATAATGTATTACAAACACACACTAATAAAAGGAACTAAATACAAAAAAAGAATCTCCCACGGGATGTCTGCAAGCTCCATTTGGATGCTTTAGGGCCAGCCCGTCTTTGTTGTACGCAACCCACATCCTTGATCTGATGGGACTGCGGTGTGTGCAGACTGGCAGCGCCTCCCCTCCCCCTCGGCCTCGTGGCGCATGTGTCTGCAGTGGACCCAGGCAAGCCCGGGCCCTGAGATCATCACACCACCTGTGATGTCACGGCCATCTTAGCTCATGGCAGTTCACTCTATGAGGACTGCAACATGCCACAGTCTCCTAACAACATGCTTCTTCCTCCTGCCTCAGCCTCCTGAGTGCTAGGAATCCAGGTGGTACCACCAGGCCCAAGGCTACATGGCCTTTCTTAGAATGTATCCCCCGTCACTAGGCCACACATGATTGCTCCCCTGCAAAACCCACGCCCTCCCACTGCCACCTATGTGGGGTCCCAAACCCCATCCTCACCCAGGCCGCCCGGGCCGGCCAGCAGGAACTCTTGCCGGCCAATCCTCTTGACGATTGGCCGCTTCTCCTCACTACAGTAGGGGAACAGGTCCTGCGAGAGGCCCGTGCTGTAGTTGAGGATGATGTACTGTGTGCTCAGTGCCAGGCACAAGAAGTGGCCATCCACAGCCACAGCCAGAGGCTGCTCGGGCGTGGATACCTCCTTGACGATCTGCACACGGTCCTCGTAGACCAGGAACACCTGGATGGTTCTGCGCTTGACAGAGAGGATGCAGACTTCCACACAAAACGGGTCCCCGCCCACGGGGTTCTCGTTGAGCGCAAAGGTGGAGGCCCCCTTGATGCGCGCGCCTGAGGGCACCGGCTCCAGGCTGCGCATGCCCACCAGGGAGATGCAGCTGTCACAGAGCACCAGCAGCCGGTCGAGGGCAGAGGCTGCGCGCAGCTCACTCACTGGCTTCCTGAAGCCCAGGTGTCTGTGCAGCTGCCTGGTGGCTGTGAAGGCAGCGGTGCCCGTGGGCAGCGGCTTCTCCTCCAGCAGGAAGTGGTAGACAAAGCCATCGCTGGTGCCCACGTAGAGGTTCCGGCCGCAGCACTCCACGCACTCGATGTTGACCCGCTCCTTGTCGCCCATCAGCAGCTCCCGCTCGACAGCCGAGACCAGCGTGAAGGCCTTGATGCTCATCATGACTGTTGCGTGGCCTGCAGAAGAGTTGGGGGGGGGGTGTGAATCTCAGGGGGGCAAGGAGCAAGCAGACACATGCCTGTGAACACGGATCCCCAGTTCCCAGCGTGTCATTTCAGCCACAGAAACAACATAAGGATGTCAGGAGAGTGGAAGGAAAGACCTCCCAGCAGGCAGAGGGCGCCCTGCGAGGAGCACACAGCCTATGCTTGTGGGAGAGGTGTCCGTGTCTGCCCCCCCCCCCCCCCCCCCCCGCAAGAGCTCAGAGCTGCGGAAGCAGCCTCCATGGGTCCAGCAACCAGGACTGCAGTGTGTAAGTTTGTCCCCACCCACTTCCCAGGCTTCCCAGCCTATGCTAGTTGCAAGGCTGAAACACCCCAGAAATGTTCAAAAGTCACATGTCAGGGAGGCAAGGGGCTTAGACAAGCTTCGAGGCACCTTTCAACTCCCACAGCCCAGGACTCCACAACCTCTTGCATCCCCTGCCCACTGGGACAATGCTGGCGACACAGGCGAGAGACTCCAGCTCCCCTTCCCTGAGCCAAACCAGTGCCCAAAGAAGCTGCACATCCCAGCCTGGGCACTCTTCAGGTCTCTCCTGTCCCTTCCTGCCTTGGTGAGCAAGTGCTTGAGGCACTTCTCTGGGTGTCACCTTAGGTGATTGCCATAGGGAGACTGCACCTCCAGGGTGGTGTCTAGGGAGGTGGGCGCCAGACAGGTGAAGAGCCCTCAGGAATGTGGTCAGCATTCTTGTCAAAGTTGCCTGAGAGAGCTTGTTTGTCCCCTCCAACACGTGATGATGCAGCCAGAAACCACAGTCTGAAATGATCAAGGCCCTCACCAGGCCATGAACCTGCGGGGACCACAGCCTCTAAACCCATGAGCAACAATTCTTGCGCGCCCGCAGCTCACGCAGTCCAGGCCTCTTGGTGCAGCAACACAAACTGAGACACTTGCTTTTCCAACCCACGTGAGCTCTTTATGAAATGGGCTTAAAAAATAAAAGCACCTACGTCACAGACTGAGGCTGAAATATCTCAGTTCAGGTAAGATGCTTGCTCTAAAGAGGCTGTACCCAGAAAGTCTGCGATCTACCATGAGGACCCAGTTCCCACCCTCTCTGGATTCCCGACTATTTGCAAACCAGGTGCCCAGAAGGAAATGGAAGTTCAGAGGTGGTTGACCTCAGGGGTGGGGAACCTATGGCCTGCTTGCAGGCAGCCAAAGGTACACCATCATAGGGCTACCCGTGCATCCCACAAAGGACACTAGGCTATCCACAGACACACAGACATGAGGGTCCTGTGCCGTGGTCACACTCACCCACATGCGATCGGCTTCTGGGAGACCTTGGAAAGGGGGGAAGGGCTGAGGGCCAAGGCTCCAAAGGCACCTCAGTAGAGGCACCATGTCACCTATCCCCTGGCCTCCGGGCTTGTCCAGGACAGCTGCGGAAGACTCCCACAGACCTCAGCTAATAATCCATGGCACTAAAGTCTAAACCTGTGGGACCACTGCTGCAGTCAAATGGATCCCACCTGGACAACAGGCTTTGCACTGAGATGCTAATGAGCAACCCTAAGCACTGAAAGGTAGGTTTTCAAGTGAAAGACGGCAAGAAATGCTACAAAATCCTTCTCTCACTGGCTGATCATCCAGCGCTGTCTTTGAAAATGGCAGGAAAAACAACTGTTCCTCCAATTTGAACTGTACCACCCCTTTTACAGAAAAAATAGAAAAACAAGCCTCAGACACCTTACAACCAAACTCCATTTAACATCTTAAAGGCAGAATATCTGTACCTCTAGCCTCACTTAGCATACGGGATAAAATAAACACATTTTCTATGAAGATAAAATACTTTGCATTCAGCCTGAGTACTGGGGAGCAGAGAAGGGAGGGAGAGAGGGAGGAGAAGTTGTAGAGAAAAACGTGTGACTTATTAAAAAGTTATTATTCTATACGGAAAATAAATGTAATGTGGTTTTATTCTAGTTACTCAAGTCTTGCTAACAGTAAATTTCCCTAGTTAAGGCCTCTAAGTAAAGGATTTGCTTTAGTAATTAAACAGTAATTTTAAAAAGAAAAAATTGAAAGGGTTTTGGCCCAGACAGGACACTGTAGCCAGGAAAGCCTCAACCGGAAGCAGGAATCCCCTATCTCCCCCACCCCTAGGAATTTACCTGTGACGCCATATTCCCGCCCCTGGGAATTTACCTATGGCACCAAACCTAGGACCAATGGACCACTTGTGCATCCCTAATGCCCGCCTTAGGTTCCACCCCAAACCGAGGCTACTTACATACCCCCCACGCCACGTGTCCGCCGGAGAGATCACCGGACGCCAGCAGTGGGGGGTGCCAGTCATCTCTCTCCATGTTCTCAGAATAAAGGCCGCTTTTTGTTTTATACTTCTCACCTTTTGGAAATATTTTTCATCTTTTGGAAATAATCCTATCATTTGGTGCTGTGACTCGATCGGCAGGCGATTGACTCCTGCGACACACCCAGTTGAGTCCCCAGCCAATTCACAAACCAGATAACATCCTGGATTAATTCCACTCTTTTTCCTCTCCCAAGAAGTCCTTGTCACCAGCCGCCTGCACTAACCATTGGCCAGATTGATTTCAGGTGAGCACTCTCCAGGGAACTCTTGGCACTGGGCATCCCCAGTCGACTGTTCTCCCCGTTCGAGTAGGTCTGTGGCATTTTCACGTCCTTAGAACAGCCCAAGGCAGGGTTCCTTCTGGGCAAACCTGTGTCCACACTCTAAAATCTCTCACGTTCTTTGGGTTCGGATAGTCCCAAGCAGAGATTTTTGGACCGCCCACACTGAAAGGCCCTTACTTCCCTTAAAGCCTCGTGCTTTCACGGGCAAAACTGTTACTGACCCCACGTGGGCTCCACTCGTAAATCTCTCAGTGACGACTGGAATATAAGAGTTTTTGGTACCTTAGCTGCTGTGTGGTACCACAAACAAGTGACGACTTGTTCTGGACCATGGCTTACTTCTTGCCTGAATCAGTCATGGGAAACGTATTTTCTAAATCCCAAAAGACGCCTTTACAATGCCTAATTTCCAATTTACGTACTCTAAAAATTAAAAGTACCAAATTAAAAACTAAACAATTAACTTCTTACTGCCGGGAGGTCTGGCCAACCTACCCACTTAGCGGCAGTCGTTAGCCCAAAAAAGGAACATTTGACCCCTGCATTCTCAAGAATCTGTATGATTTCTGTCAGGCCGGCGACAAGTTATTAGAACTCCCTTATATTCAGGCCTTTCTTATTCTGAGAACACGCCCGTCTCTCATTAAGTCTTGTACTCCCGCTCAGATACTTTTAGCTAACTCTACCGTGCTGCAAACTTTTCCGTCCTACCCTCTGGTATTTTCCCTGCCACCTCCCTACCCCCAAAATGGTTCCTCGCCATTATCTCCCACTGTGGGATTGTCTTCCCCTCCGTCTCCCAGGACCCATAACTCTCCCAGTGGCTCTAATGCCTCTATTAGCACTTCCTCGAAGTCTCTGACTTCTTATTCTCCGGAGAATTCTCTATCCCCTAAAGCATTCTCACTGCCCACCCACCATACTAGGTCTCGGTTGCTATGTCCTTCCAGCAGGCCACGTGACTGTTCCAGCTTGTGCCGGGAACAGTCGCCATGTTACAACCCTCCGCCACGTGGCCGGGCGCCACCATGTTCTCAGGGGTCTCACTGTCAGCGGGCACCCCCTTGTGGCTCCTCTTATGAACTGCAACAGCCTCCCTGTTGCAGTGTACTTGATGCTTCATTGTGCTGCTGACAGCAATCCTCTCGCTGCAAGGCACATAGTGAGACGCCATCTGCCAGTGTTTCCCAGGGTGACCGGCAGCAGCTCTGTAGCCGCTCTACAGATGATTGCTCACACACGTCTACCAGACAGATGGCTGCCCAATGACCCTCTGCTCTGGAATCTTCTCCTCAGGCTCTGCTACCACTTTGGGAGCAAGCAGGCCCTGAGGGACTTGTTAACATCCATGTGCCTTTTTCCCTTTCTGATCTATCTCAGATTACCCATAAATTAGGTAGCTTCTCTGTTGACCCACAGAATTATATCAGGCAATTTAAATTTATTACTAATTGTTATGATTTACATTTTAAGGATGTTTATGTGATTCTAAATACCACTCTCAGCTCACAAAAGCGAAATCAGCTGTGGCAAGCAGCTTGAGAAGAAGCTGATCACAGACATAAGGTAAACACTGCTGATAATGACCCTGGGCCTATAGCTGTGCCAGAGCAGGACAAGCATACTAACTACAACAAACTTTTACAACAGGTCCAGGAGGCTAATCAAAACCCAGCTGTGTTCCTAAATCAGCTTTCTTTTTTTTTTTTTTTTTTTTTGTCTTTTTCATTTTTATCGGTACCAGGGATCGAACTCACGACTGCCTGCTTACAAGGCAGGTGCTTATGCCGCTGAGCTAAATCCCCAGCCCCCTAAATCGGCTTTCTAATCCTCGCGCCCTGTGAGCAGTTCCAGCTTCCCACGCTTTGTTGGGCCACCTCCCAGCCCTTCTGCCATGTGCCCTCCCAGCCCCTCCCTTTCCCATGCACCGTAGTCCTTGCTGCCGCCTTACTCATTTCCAGGGGCAGTCCTAGCCCACCCCTGCATGCTACCTCCCAACGCTCGCTCCACCCCCATCCTGGGTGTGCTCTGCCAGCACGCTGCAAAACAGCAGCTCAGCGGCTCCACTCAGGTATGCTTTTTTTACAATTTGGCTTTGCTCAAAAGATGCCATTTTTTAATTGCAATTCTCAAACCATTTAATCAAGGTTATTGGCCACCTGATAATTTTACCAGCCTTGTTTATCAATCAAAGCCTTTACCAATCTCCTGTTTAACAACTAAGGTTATAAATTCCTTTTTGCTGGAAACCACTAGCTCTGTTCCAAGACAAGGGTTTTGTTAAAGTTTTATTTGTCTTGGCTCATACTACTGTAAATAACAGGTTTTAAAAAAGTAAATGTGTTCA